TCGCTGGCAGGGTCTCCTTGAGCTTCCGAACGCCCAGGTCCTTCAAGCTCGCTGTCGGCCTCTCCAGCCTCTGCGCTGTCGCTTGGAGGCTCCGCTGTCGGCTGTTCTCCAGCGTCCGCATCGGCGTTCTCTGTCGCAGCTCGTTCCTCCTCGACATCTGCCTCCCCTTTCCACGCGTCAGCATAGCCTCCATCGTCGCCCATTCCCTCACCGCAAGCCGCGTTCTTCTCTTCAACCGTTAGTGCGTCCTCAGCCCGAGACACTTCATTCTCAACGCTCATCTCTGCCGACGCCGCGCTGTCATCCGGGTCAACTCGCTGATGATCATCGCCGCTTTCGCCAGGTTCGTCAGCGTTCTGGCCAGCTTCGTCGCTCCCAGCTGCGGCTTGCTTCTCCACTCCAGGGTAGGCATCTTCCTCCTCCGCGTACCCATCGTCACCTTTCGTCGCGTCGCCGCCGTCGTTATCGGTCCGAGGAGGGTCGTCGGCGGCAGTCTCAAAGACGTCATGGTCCTCTGCGTATTCGTCGTTCCGTGCAGCTTCAGCCGTGGTCGGCCGCATCTCCACCGGCAGTAGTCTCCTCTCCGTCCGCATTCACTTTCCCTTCATCGTCTCCGTCTCTGCCATCAGCCTACAGCCGTCGATTCATCCCCAGCCTGTCTCAGTCACCTCTTGCCCCGCTTCTTCCTCCGCCATCCACTTTCCATCTCCGCCACTGACCATCCAGCCAGCGACCTCCGTCGCCTCCTGCCCCCCCATTCCTCTCTTCGCTCCCCACCGACATCCGCCCTATCCCTTCCCCCTTCCCCGCCGCACTCCCCACACTCTTTTTCCCGCTCCCACCCCTCCTCTCCGCGCTCGCCATCCGACTTCGAAACCGCTCGCACTCGACCTGCGCGTCCCCAGCCTCGCTCCCAGTCCTCGGCGTTCGCCGTTCCGCGCCGTCGTTCAGTTTCGCCCTGCTGCCCGCGGCGGCGGAGGGAGACCCCAGGGCGGGTGCAGCGGAGCCGGTTTTGCGAAGGCGGGCGAGGCTGGAGGAGAGGGAGGGCGCATTGGATTTGGCGAGGGCGGATTTGCTGGTGTGGCGGCTTTGGGGGGGGTTTGGGGTGTTCGGTTGTTAGTGTTGGCGATGTTAGTGGTTTGGTGAGGCCTCAAAGAGGATACATTAACCGCGGTAGTTCTACCTCTTATTCTTCCGCAGCTCGTCGCGGCTCTGCGGCTTGCTACTGCTCGGAGCCGACCCACGAACCGACTGCGGCTTGCCGTCGGCGTTCTCATTCCCAGCTGCGTCCATCCCACTCACATTATCCACAACAGCCACGACCGTCTCCACCGCTCCAGCGCCAGGCACAACTCGCTCATCCCCGCACTCCTCTTTGTTCTCTTTCGCGTCCTCCGTGGTCATCGGGTCGTCCTCCGCCGTTCCACTTCCCCTGCCGCTCTCGACGTTTGGCTCCGTTGCTTCGTCGCCAGGAACATTCTCGAGTGCTTCAGCGTCGGCGGAAAGGACAATGGGATCGCCGCCGTCGGGAGGATCCATAGATTGATTCTATTCCGCACCCCCGTCAGTCAGCGTTTTGATGCAAAGACGCACGTGGGTTATTGTTGAGTCGATGCCCAGAATAGTCACACGAAAATTTTTTTTTTCGGTGTTTTTCGTGTTTTTTCTGTTCGCGAGAAATGATTCTGGAAGGAGCTTCTGTCGTTGCTCAATACGACGAACGGCATGGACATGAACAATCCTCTCTCTATCTCTCCACACTTTTCTCCTTGTCGGCATCCTGCGCCACAGGGCGACTGGAGGCGAGGCCCGTTCTCGCCTTCCGGGCCGGGCTCGGTTGCTAAACACACGCAAGAGAATTCCTGCTCCGCGTATTGGAAGCAGTGGGCCGATGCCAAGCCTGCCGTTCCGTGGCGCGGCGTCGGAGTCCCGAGTTTTTTTCGCGCAACCCTCAGCGTTGGGGCTGTGTAAGCATTTCGTCGCGAATACGGTAATACTTTGTAGCTCGCACGACGAACTTCAAAAAAAAAAAAAAAAAAAAAATTACAAAACAGTGTGTGTTGGAATGACACCACCAGCCAGCCATCATTCTGTGCGCCAGCCACACCGTGCCAAACACATTTTTTTTAGCCCCCTCATTTCTTGTCTTTTGTCTCGCATCGCCTCCTTTTTGGTTCGCCTCTGTCGCTGTCCCTGTCTTCCCACAATTTCTCTCTCTCTCTTTCTCTCTCGCTTTCTGTCATCTCCGCCCTCTCGCTGTCTCTCTCTCTCTCCGACCAAATCGTGGCTGACACAGCAAACCAATTTCGGCCATCAATCAAGGGTAGCAGGCAGGAGCAGCATCATTAGCTCCATCTGCCTCCCCCCTGCAGCAGCAGCAGCAGCAGCAGCAGCAGCAGTACCAGCAGCAGCAGCAGAAGCAGCAGCCGTAACTCGATGTTGTTAGACCGGAGTAAGAGAACCGGCGGCTTCAGAAAGCCTTCTGCGCATCATCGCGGCCCAGCCATGCACGCTGCTGCGGCCTCCCTTGCCTTGTTCGCATCGGCCGCTGCCGCCGCCGTCGCCATCGCCGCCGTCCCCGCCGCCCTCGCAAAGCGATCGCCCGTCGACACCGCAAACGCCGTCGTCGTCGCCAACGGAAACTCCTCCCCCACAACAACTTCCTCCTCAAGCTCGAGCACCCTGGCCCCGCTAGAGCAGTCGGGCTCAAACATTCTGCTGTGAGTTACAACATGCATCGTCGAGGGTGATCGATTCCGTTTGCTGATTGGAATTCATGCCATCTCGTCCCTCCTCCTCACCTCCAGCGGCGCATGGTACGACCGGCCGAACGGCGACACTCCGCTCGCCATCAACAACCGCCTCGGCTACAAGCTGTCCTTCTTCCAGACGGACATTGACCTGACCGGCACCGTCAAGCCCGTCACTGGACCCAACATCACTACTCAGTACATGCAGCACCTGGACGCCACGGACTCATCAGCCCTCGCCTACCTGACCGTCTACCCCTTCAACGGCTTTGCCGCCGTCACTGGTGCGCCCCACTCGCGATGCTTTTCGCCCTCTTCTTGCGAACGCTTACCCATCCCATCCAACCTCCCATCCAAACAGATGCCCAGCTGGCGGACCTGCTCACGCGCATCAAAGCCATCATCGCCTCAGGCCGCCCCGTCTTTTTCCGGTACGCATCCGAGATGAACGGCAACTGGTTCCTCTACGGACAAGACCCGGCCGGCTTCAAAGCGTCCTGGATACGCGTCTACAATTACATCAAGGGCGGCCTCGGCGCGGATGCCAACAAGATCGCGTTCCTCTGGTCGCCCAACTCCGGCTACAACTACCCTTGGCCGGGCGGGATCGTGTACCCGAACGCGACCAACCCCGCCGACGCGGCACGCATCAAGCTCCTCGACACGGACGGCGACGGCCACCTGACGGGCGCCGACAACCCGTTCACGCCGTACTACCCGGGCGACCAGTACGTCGACTGGGTCGGGCTCAGCATGTACCACTACGGCACCGAGTGGCCGTGGTACCAGAACGTGCCGCCCAAGTCGGGCGACTTTGAGGCGTTCCTGACCGGCACGTATATGACCGATACGGGCCTGTTCCCCTTTTACACGTGGTTCTCCGGCAGCGGGCTGGCGGGCATCACGTCGGGCAACAAGCCGTTCTTCGTCTCCGAAACTGGCGCGGCGTACCACTACGGCTGGGACCCGGCAAAGCAGCCGATCGACCCTGCATACATCAACCAGCTCAACACCACCGCGCCCCGTACGCCCATCAAGCAATCCTGGTGGCGGCAATTCCTCTCCCCCGACTTCCTCTCTCGCTACCCGCGCGTCCGGGCGATCTGCACCTTCGAGTTTGACAAAGCCGAGGAACTCACCCTCCGGGACTTTTCAAACATGGGGGTCGCGCCGGGCGGGCAGGCCGAGGCGGCGGACGTGCTGGCGGCGCTGCAGGCGGATTTGGCCGGAGATTACGGGAGCGCGGTCGCGTGGGCGTCGGCGGGGATGCCGGTCAGGGTCGAGGCGACGTCGTCGCCGGTTGCGTCGGCGACGGTGGCGCCGGTGAACAAGACGAGCGCGGCGGCGGGTGTCGACGCGGCGCGCGTCGTCGAGCGGGTGGCGGCGGTCGCGGTCGGGTTGCTGGGGCTGGCCTTGGCGGCGCTGGTCGCATGAAGGGTTTCCTGGTGGCCAACGATTCCGTTGGTCCCAGTTTTCCGTTTCGCTTTCGCGTTCGCTCCCCACTTTTTACCCTTTTTTCTCCTTTCTCTTTATTATCGCCTCGCTTGCCCTTCGCTTGTGGTCAGCACAACCCACCCCTCCAACCAACCCCACCTGTTCTTCTACCTAGTCTCCCCCCCCTTTTTTTTTTTTACCAAACCCTTTTTCCTCTCCTTTTTGTATGTCCGTCTGAAAAAAAAAGAAAATAGAGAACACAATATCGGTTTCTGTCACCTCGCTTTTTAGCCGTAGCCCGGTCTGGCAATCTCCATTCATCGTTGCCGTCTTTTCCGCACAACCGTTCGAGCGAAATCGAAACAGAACAACGGAGCGCTTTGGCTGGCCCGCTTGCAACCTGCCTTTTTTTTTCTGAACGAGAGCCGCGGATCGCATCAGGAGTGCAATTTTTTTTGGGGGTGAGATGCAGTAATGGCAAACCTAGTGCAACGAGAAGCAAGGAAGATGATGGTGGAGCAGACTGGCATTTCCCTCATGGGGAAATCCAAACACCAAACGCGAAAGCGTCGGGCACGAAAACATTGGGCAAACCCCCCCGCCGCTGATCACGTAGTCCGCCGCCTCACAACTCCTATCTTTGAGCGGGAGGGCAGTTTGCTCAGCAAACGAGATGAGCAGAGAGAGAGCAGGGGAGGCAGTCTGCTTTTGTGAATTATTGAGAGAGAGGTGTGAGTCACATGTATTGTGGTTAAGTTTTTGTGACCGAACCAAAGGTGCCCAAAATATATTTGCGTAAAAATCAGGTTATCACCAGCTCCTGTCGTCTAATGGTTAGGATACCGCTATCCCAGCGGTGGATCGGCGTTCAATTCGTCGCAGGGGCATCTGGTTCGGGACTATTGTAGTTACTGTTATCTGGAAGTAACCTATCTTTTGTCATTGTGGAGGCAATTACAACCAAACGGCGTTTCGATGAACCCCACCTGTGATCTTCGTGGCCTGTAACTTGGAGGTGCAGAGATGCCATGGTTTCCAACGTTTTTAAAATTGTCTCCAGCAGCATTGTGTCGTGGATGGGCGCTGTTGAGGGGAGTCACCAACCCACCCTCAAGAGGCGATCAAGAAAGAAGAGCATTAAAGCGATCACGTGCGAAGAAGAGCTGTCGATATTCCCTGATTCTCGTTCTAGACTGAAAGGACGCGTCAGGCCATATACTCGATCAGGGGAAACTAGTAGTTATTAACAAACTCTGTTGCCTCGTCGCCTCCTCACCTTCACGCCTCGCTCGCTCCTTTTGGTCCACTCAAAACATGAACATGGTGGGTCGACAGCGGGCTGGAAGTGGACTGGGACGCTGTCTCCTTCAAATATGCGCACACGAGGCTGCGATTCTCAAGTGGAAGGAGTCCGGTCGGTTTGGGCTGTGGTTGCGGGCAATGGCTGATCCCGCGAGCACAGCGAGGAAATCACGACCAGCGTACGGACTGGCTGGAGGGAAGCAAAGCCCTTGAAGTGTGGTGCCGCCAAGAGCTCAGTGTCGTGCAGGCAAGAGCTCAACAGTATTTGGCTTTCAATTTCTCATTCGTAGCTTTGTAGTGTGTTTGGAACGGGATGAATACACATATTCGTATACATGAATTCTGGATTCAGCGTGTTTTCTCTTTACTCCAATGAATTTCAGATATATATGATATTGTTGCTCACAACAAGCGGCCAATTTTCCTCGCCAGTTATGTTGCCCTGGTTGGAACACATTGTAAATGCTCAGACCTGTTCCTACTTAGTCAGAGCCAAATATTATAAATAGGTATGTTTGTCGATGCCTTGAAGCTGACAATTCCAAGCTCCATGTCACCAATCCGCAACGAGCCAATGACAACGTTCACTGAGCCGCTGCACCAGCGACGTGGGAGAAGAGCACTTTGAATTTCCCGCCCTCGCCGTACTACGGTGAGTTGTGCAGCAATTGCAGGATGAGCAACCTCAAACAGCAATCGTGTCTCTTGTTCTGCGCACCCAACAGGCCCACACTTTGGGGGATGGCGGTTGATATCAGCAAATGCTTCGCGCTGCCCAGACGGCTCTAGAGTTCCGAAAGGCCGGGTACGAGATCCCCTCCAGCGCGATCGACCGCTTTGTGACCCTTCTGGTACGTCCCATGTATGGGGACCTCTATGCCCCCGTTCTACTGAGCGCTCCGACGAGTGTTGTGACGATTCAAGCCGAAAATCGGAGATGGGACGTGATCAACCTTGTTTCGTACAACTACCTGGGGCTCGAGCGGCTCGATGAGAAGTTTATTGAGTGGTTGGAGGCTTCGGCCTACTCACTTCCGTCGTGTGGACTCAGCGACGCAAGACTTGTCTCGGCAGCGATGCGAGGTGAAGCGAGCGATCCTCAAGGGGACCCTGTTGATCCCATTGTCTCGGCGCTCCGGACCGAGATGGCGGCGTTCGTAGGCAAGGAGGATTGTCTCGTCTTTTCGAGCGGCTACATGACAAACTACTCCGTTTTCCCGCACATTGTCACCAACACAACCGTCGTGCTCCTTGACGAGCTGTCTCACAATTCGATCTGGATGGGATGCCGCGCTGGGAACCCCTTATCCATCGTTTCGTTTTCGCACAACTCGGTTGCAGATCTCACCGCAAAGCTAGAGGCTGTCCAAGCGCGCCACGCTTGCGCAGAGGTCCTCGTCGTCGTGGAGGGTATCTACAGCATGGAAGGCACACTGGTCGACCTTCCTGCCGTCGCAGCTCTCAAGACCACCCACCGATTCACGCTGCTAGTCGATGAGGCACACAGCCTGTTTGCACTGGGCCGGACGGGCCGCGGCGTCGCCGAGCACTTCGACCTCCCGCCGTCTGTAATTGACATCCACGTCGGGACCTTCAGCAAGACCCCGGCGGCAGTCGGTGGCTTCGTTGCCGCCAGCACACCCCTCCTGACCCGGGTCCATACCCACGCGCCCTACTTCTCCGCCGCCGATCGCAGCTTTCCCGCCGTCATCGCCGCGCGCGTGCTTTACCTCCTCCGGAACGAATCGCCGACCAAAACCGTCCCGCGGCTCGCGCGGCTGCGCGCGGCGACGCTGTGGATGCGGCGTGCGCTGGCGGCCGCAGGGCTGGTCGTGCAAGGTGCGGCCGAGTCGCCGATCCTGCCGCTGCTGGTCGTGTACCCATGGCGTGCGGTGGCGATGGGGAACTTGTTGCGCGAGCGCGGGTACGGCGTGGTCCCCGCGGTGCCGTCGCGCAGCAACTATTTTGGCGCAAAGCTGCTCGTGTGCGTGTCTGCCGCGCTTACAGACGCGCAGATCGAGGGGGCGGTGGCGACCATCGTTGAGGTTGGGGAGGCGGTGGGACTTATAAAGCGGCACGGCCGGCAAAAGTGTGCAAAATGGCGTTTTTCTGCCCACGGGGAAGGATCCGAGTGTCGGGAATGCGACGAAACAACAGCAGTCCGAGCGCCGCCCATTGATCTTTTCCCGGAGCTGGCAAAAGCCCTCGCGACACCGAACCGCGTGCACGTCACAAAGCACGACGTCCACGGCCTAGCAAACCTTAAGTCATCCAGAGCTGCAGTCGCTGCTGCAGTTTGCAAGTACGGCCTTGGCGCCTGCAGCGCTGCCTCGCACTACGGCACATACGACGCACACCGATCCCTCGAAGCCACCATCAGCGCATCTCTGGGCACGGAGCGCGCACTGGTGACGTCGTGCGGGCTGAACGCGGTGACGTCCGCCACGGCCGCCATGTGCCTCAGCCAGGGCGCGCACGTCCGGCACGTGGTTCTCTGCGACGGCGCCACACGTGCCGCAGTCCTCGACGGGGTCGCCGGGAAGAGCAAGTCGGTGGAGGTCTACTTTTTTGACCACTGCGATGCAGCAAGTTTCCACCGGTGCTTGGAGGCGCAAGTGGTCGCCGTCGGCGCAAGAAGGTCGAAAATCGCAAAGAGGGTTCTCGTCACCGTGATCGTCGAGGCCGTCTCGGACCGTACGGGCCGTGTGTTCCCGCTCCCCGCCTTCCTCGCCGTCCTCACAGCCCTCGAGTCGCGCCACCGCCGTCTCCGCCATCGCTTCTTTGTCGACGAGTCCAACTCCTTTGGAATCCTTATGGCGCGTCCAACCGATAGCAGCAGTGCTGCCCGCTCTTCCCGCTGTACAATGGGACTCTTTGCGTACCACGGGATTCCGATCCACCCGCGCAAGTCGCCGCACGTCTTTGCGGGGACCCTCACGCGGGCGGTCGCGTCCCAGGGCGGTTTTGTGGCGGGCAACGAGGTGACGGCGGTGACATTTATACGGAACCACCGGGCGTACCTGTACTCGTGCAGTCTACCGCCGCCGGCAGCTGTTCTCGCCGAACACAATCTGAAGCACTTGCTTTCGAATGCGGCCGCCCTGTCGGCGCGACTGCGGGGGCTGACTGCGGCCGTCCGCTCGCGGCTGTCTGGGTCGTTGGAGATGAAGGAGCAGGTCGATTCGCCAGCCGGGGCTGCCGGTTGGTCGGAGGGCGAGGCTGACAGCCCGTTGGTCGTAATACGAGGAGCGACTGACCGCTTGGCATCTGTCGCCGCGGCCTGGTCGGGCCGCGTGCAGCTGGACTTTGTCGACGAGTCTAGAGCCGCGCTGAAGCTGACGGTTCTGAGCGACTTTCCTTTGGAGATCTATGAGCAGTTTTGTGACCTCGTCAATGAATCACGTAGTGTTATTTATTTTCAACGGGTACCAATCCCAGCATGCCCCTGAAGAAACACTCTGAATCAGCTTAACTTGTATTCATTCCATTCCAAACACCCCACGAATCTACAAATCGAAAAACAAAGTGAAAGCTAAAGCCTATGAGCTCTTGCCTGCACGGCACTGAGCTCTTGTTGCCACCACACTTCAAGGTGCTTCGCGCCCCACCAACCTGTCCGTACCCCGTTAACGATTTCCTCCAGGGCGCCTCGCGGATCAGCCTTTGCGCTCAACCACAGCCCAAACAGGCCGGACTCCTTCCACCACTCGAGAATCGCCGCCTCGTGCGCGTCTTTGAAGGAGACAGCGTCCCAGTCCACTTCCAGCCCGCTGTCTAGCCACCACTGCAAGCACTCTACTAACCCGCGATTAACCGCACAGTCCACCGACGCCTTGGTGTACTTCAGCGTCAGCCCGCTCTCCCTCCACCATTGCAACGCATGAACGTGACCCCAACTGCTGGCCCAATCCGCCGCTTTTTCGTCGTACTTGAACTCGAGCCCGCTGTCCTTCCACCACTGCAGTACATCGACCAAACCCGCCGCTGACGCCAACTCCACCGCCGTCGAATCGTACTTGAGCGGCAGCCCACTCTCTTTCCACCACTGCAGGACATCCACATGGCCCCACTTGCTCGCCTTGTTCATAGCCACCACCCCGTAATCCATTTTGAGTCCGCAGTCCTTCCACCACTGCAGTACCTCGACATGCCCCCTCTTCGAAGCCCACTCCACAGCCCCTGCATCGTAATCCGGACGCAACCCGCAATCCCTCCACCACTGCAGCACCGGCACATGCCCGGCTCCGCTTGCGCCGTTCATCGCGCTCTTCGAGTACCTAATCTCGAGCCCGCTCCCCCTCCACCACTCCAACACATCGACCCTACCCTCCGCCGACGCCGCTGCGATCGCCGTCGCATCGTACTTGAGCGGCAACCCACTGTCCGCCCACCACTGCAGCACGTCGATCCGCCCGCCGCGGCTGGCGACCTCGATCGCGGTCGTCGAGTAGCGCATCTCGAGCCCGCTGTCGCGCCACCACTGCAGGATCTCCGCCGACTGCGCGTCGTCAACGGCGTCCTCGGTGTATCGCTGTTCGAGCTGGTCGCGCGGGATGTGTCGCAAGAGAAAGTCGAGGGTGTCGAC